GTGTGGCTCTAAGAACATGTCGTGGTATGACTATAGGAATGCCGGGAGGGTCGGTCCCTGCTCAAGACACCTCAGCCGCTGGGGCGCAGATCGGACGGGGCTAGGACGAGGATCACGTCCGTTCCACAGCGTTCTGGAAAGCTCTCAGAACGTCCCGGAGCGTTCCGAGAAGGCCGCGGCGCCCGAGACGTCCTCCAGAGCCGCCGGCTCCTCACCCAGTTTTGTCCTCGTCCTGGCTTCGTCTCGTGCGAAGCGCCCCAGCGGCGCCGCCGGGCGCGGCGCGAGGGCGTTGAGACCGCCCTGGGCGACTCGGGGGCCTCGGGTTGTCCTGTCGAGGCCAGCCGAGACCACCTCCGGGGCGGGGGGGGCGCAGCCCGAAGCCTGACCAGCGGGGAGGGCGGGGAGGGGCCCAGGTTTCCAACGCATGGAACAAATCAAGGCGGCAGTCTTCCGCCGTTTTCGGCGTGCGGGGGCCGTTTCTGGGCCTCGAGGTCAGAACATGACCTGGAGCGAAAGACCGCTCCGCGGAAATCGGTCCAGAGGTCTGGGAACCCCGTCTGGAAAAATCAAAAGACATTTCTAGGTCTCCCAGGGGGTCCGAGTAGACGGGGTTCGGAGGATCGCGCCGCATCGCCGATGCATCGGCGATGCGACGCGATCCTCCGATCTTACTTGCCCGGCCCCTTTTGGGAGGCCTCCTGAGGAGGGGGGGGGGAAGGAGGACCCAGCCATCCGACGTTGTTGTATGCGTGTGGCTTTCCCAGCGCGGCGTGCTCCCTTGATCTCGGCCCGTGGGGGCCGCTTGTGGGCCCCAGGGCCATCCAAAGTGGGTCCGCAACGAAAGCCGATGGGGAGAGTCTTAGGATCTCCGCGGCGTGGACCCCAGAGGGTGCCCGGAGGAGCCCGCGCCTGGGGGGACGGCGAGGGGCCATCCTGGAGGCAATCGGTTCGATTCCCCCCCCCCCCCAGGGGCCATTGAAATTGCCCAGCTGGGTCCAAAACCCTGGCAAACTCAATCGGTTTGGCCTCCTCGCCGAGGCCATCTTGGGCGCCCTGACACTCCGCCCCCCCATCCCCCCCGCGCCCCCCCCCGAAGACCTCAGGGAGGGGCGGGGGGAGGTGAACCCCCCGGAGAGGAAGCGGCTCTCGGAAGAGGAAAGAAAAGATATAGCTGGACCACCTTGGCCCACAGGGCCTGGTGGCATTGTCATGAGCTGAGTGCGCTCCTCGGCGAGGGGGAGGGCAGAGGCGAAGAAGCAGCAGCAGCGAGGGGGGGGCGGAGGCGCTCGGCCTGGCAGAGCTGCCGCCGCCGCGGCGGGAGACAGTGCTCGAGGCCGCCCAGGAGCCCACGCGGCCGCCCCCGCCCGCTTCTTTTCGTCACAGGGCTGGCGGGCGTTGCGACCGTCGCCTCGTCATCGGCGCCGGTGTTCTTCTCCTCCTCGCCTTAGGTCGGGCATCTCCCTCTACAGGAGGAAAAAACTCCACTGTGGTATGGGGATGGTTTTCTTGTTTTTTGAATAATGCTTGAGCATTTCATTATTTCGAATGTGTCCAGAATCCGCCTGTAGGGGGGCATGCCCGACCTATTCCGCGCCCTGGGATGGGAGGAAGCGGAGGAGGAGCAGCAGCAGCAGCAGGACGAAGGATGCCCTGCCATCCGGCCGTGCATAGCCACAAGCTGGCAGGTGGCACTGTGCCCACGTGCCGCGCCGGGTGAACTGCGTCGGGGCCGCCGGGCGCAAGGCCCAAGGTCTAGTCATCGCAGTCGCGCCCGACCGGTGGCGCGGCACGAACAAGGAGGAGTAGGAGGAGTGATCTTCAACAGACTTTAGATATGTTGGAGATTTTAGTGAATATTGTAAGGGCCTCTGGACAGTGCCGCCGATCCGAGGGGCTGCGGATTCGGTGATCTTGGAGTCGTATACGGGACGCTGTTGGGAAGGGAGGGCGCTCTTGGAGTCGTCGGGGACGCTACTTGGAGCTGACGTGCCCTCTGGGGGGGTGCCTGGAGCGATCCCAGGGGTGTCCGGCGAGGGTTCCGAGGGGAGGGTCCTGGGGGCGGTAGCGGCTAGATCTGAGGGAGGTCCCTGGGACTCCCCGAAACAGCTTGGGGATGCGCAAACCATTAAGAAAACGCCAGATGGAGGACCCCTTCCCCCCCCCCTCCCCACCTTCCCCGAGGGGGGCCCGGGGAGGGTAGGGGAGAGTCCTGGGGGGGGTCCCTGGGACGCCCCGAAATATTTGGGGATGCGCAAATCATTAAGAAAACGCCAGATGGAGGACCCCCCCCCCCTCCCCCCCTCCCCGGCAGAGCCACCCTGGCGGCCCCACCCCCAACCAGAGCTGAAGCTTTTGCTCAGGCTCAGAGCTGAAGCTCTTGCTGAGGCTCCTTGTAGCTCACACGCCGGATCGGCGGACTAGAGAACTCCAGGGGGGTATTGGGGCGGGTTCTCCAGACCCTGGGTTGAGTCGAGAGGGGCAGACGGAGGATCGAGACGGAGGGGGTCCCTGCGCCCCCTTTGCAATTGCCCAATGTGGACACCATTATCCTCTCTCCCCTGCTCATGTGCAGCAGTGCCCCCGCCTTTTTGCGGATTCCTTCTCGCACGCAGGCGTTCAGTGTTGGCCGCATTTCAGGATAGGTGTTGTGCTCCCGTCGTTCATACTGGCGCTCTCTCCCCGGCGCGGGTCACATGTATGGATCCGAATCGTTCCTAGTCGTTGCTGCCCCTTACCTTTCCCCTCCCCAGCCTTCTGACCCTCACGCTCCGATCGCTCCTTCTACTCCTGCTGCTCCTGATCCTCCTCCTATTCCTCCTTCCGTAGATATTCTGGCTCAAGGCTCTGAAAGGATCTCTGCCCCCCAGCAAGCAGAAGGCTGTTGCTCCTCCATGGCGTCCGTGCTGGGCGTGGTGTCTCTCGTGATCGGCAGCCTCTACGCGGCCTTCATGCTTGCCTTCCCCGGCCTGGTCAAAGTGCTGCCCTGCCACCCGATGTACCCGATCTTGAAGTTTGCCTTCGACGTCGCCTACGGCCCCTTCTACGGCATGTCCGGCGATCTGCTCCGACTGGCGGACGGTGCATCCATCATGGCGGCGGGCCTGGGACTGCTGGTCGCGCTCTGGGGTGAGCAGCTGGGGCTCCTGGGCCAGGAAGGGCCCGGGTCGCTTCTCGGCCTGGCTCAGTCACTGGTCGTCTGCGCGTACTTCGGGCTGGCCTGGATCTTCTTCCACGCCGCTGCGTTCCACATCACTGTCGGAGACAAGTCAGGCGTGGCCCCACCTGCCGTCTTGGGCGTCGTGGCCGTGGCGCTGCTCGTCTGCCGCCTGGTGGTGAGCCCCGTGAACCTCGCCCCCGTCGGGGCATTCGCGGTGGCATCCCTGCTGCTGCTGGTCGCCATGCTGGCAATGCACGCCCTGTACGGTGCGTCCACTGCGGAGATCGCGGAGAAGTACCCCGAGGTGAAGAAGGCTTTCGAGGGTGACGCCGCCGCACCCGGTCCATCCACCGAGCCACTCGCCGGGGGGGAGGCGTGACCCCGGCGCGCTGTCTTCTTCCGCTCATCATTGCATCCTCCCCGTCGTTTTGCCAATCGTGATCTCCTCTGGAGGCGGGCCAGATGGAGCATTCCTTGGACTCGGTTGAGTGCTGCCTGGCGCGGCAAAGCCCAGCGCATGCAGGTGAATTCGAAGCGATAACGAACAGGAAGGGTAAAAGGAAAGGGATGGACAGGAGGTGAAGGAGGAGGAGGAGGAGGAGGACGACGACGACCACTGACGACGGTGACGACGACGAGAGGTCAGGGAGGGGAAAGGAGAGGAGGCGATGCGAGAGGAGAGGAGGGAGGAGTGCCAGAGGGAGGGGGGCGGAGCAGAGGGTCGCCCAGAGCAGAAATGCGAGCAGGCGAGGGAGGGCGGAACGGCCCGCCCAGCCCCGCGCGCGCGCGAGTCCGGCGTCTTCGGCGACGACGGCGCCGCCGCCGCGGCTGGCGCCAGCTGCGCAGCCTACGGCTGCGGGCGCGAGGGCGAATCGAAGGGGTCGAGGGCCCCTCCGCATCCGCCTCCCCCCCCCCTCCGGTCTTCCTTCCAGCTACACCCTGCACCCCCCTGCCTTTCTCCATGCTCGTTCTTCCTGGCTCCTCCTCACGTCCGCCTTCGTCTCTCGCTTCTTCGTTCTTTTCCTTCCCCCCTTTGTGCAGCGGCGTGCCTCCCTCCTGCCTCCCTCCTCCGTCCACCCACCCTCCTAGTCCAGTCCTCCCCCACATGTTCGACTGTCCTTTCCTTCTCTTGCCTACGATCAATCTTCCTCTCTCCCTCGGCTCTGGTCCATCGTGCCGCATTCTTGCCCCTGTTCCTTCACGTCCATCGTTCCTCAGCCCTCTTTCGCTGCCTCCCCTCCTCCCTCCATCCTCCCCTTGCCATCCTCATGACTTTCCTCATGCACCGCGTCGTCTACCTCGCAGTCGACCTTCTCACCATCACCATACTTTGGTGATGTGGATATGCTGTTGTCCAGAAAAGGTCAAGGCAAAACCAGTCCTAAGAGTATTGAGAGGCCGCCAACCAGCCAATCAATCAAATCAGAAAGGATCAAGGGGGAGCTGTTGTTGATCAAAAGGGATCAACATGTTGCCTCGCAGTCGACCTTATACTCGTCACCAGAATTGCCCCATCCCAGGGTCTAACAACGATTACGTCTGCGGTCCTCACGATACCCCCAATCCAATCACTGGTGTTTGGGAATCGTTCATCTCCGACTCTTCCTCATCTTCTCGCACATCCCCATTCATGTTTCTTCTCCTCCGCACCATGTCCCCGCATTTCCCTCTCCTGGACTTGTGAGACTGCCTGCTTGCCCTGAAGTGTTGCCTGTGCATGTTTGCTAGCATCTTCGTCATGTTTCTGCCGCTAATGCCACAGGGGATCGTACAACCCGTTGAACGGTTGCCAGTGCAACGATGAATGCGTGGTGTACAACAGCTGCTGCCATGACTTCGAGGATTAACCTTCTGCCGCAGGCGAAGGAGGAGAGGTGATTTGTTGAGAGCGCTCGGAAAGAGAACGGACCTGAAGATGATGAGAATCCGAGGGGAGGAGGCAGGGAAGTGGAGAGGAGAAAAGCGGAGGGCAAAGAAGGGGAGGAAAGCGAGGGGGAGGGGATGGGGTGAGACATGATGGAAGGAAAGGAGTAGGTGAGAGGACGGGAGGGCAGAGGAGGGGAAGAGGAGGAGTGGAGAGGAGAGCTGAGGAGATGTAGGAAAGGTCCATGGAGAACATGAGAAGAGAGAACAGGATAGGCGAGGAAAGGGGAGCGGACAGGAAGGCACATGTCGGCATTAGGGTGATAGAAGGAGAGAGAGAGAGAGAGAGAGAGAGCAGGGGTGGAGAGAGTAGAGGACATATCAGGAGCGGGGAGGGGCGGATACGATGGACAAATGGTGATAAAAGTATCGGTCGACATTGGGACGGGAATCTGAGAAGAGAAAAACACAAGGAGGAGAGGCGAGGCGAGGCGAGGCGACTCCCAGTTCGCCCAAAAGGGCGGCCGCGCGGGGGGCTGGGAGGTGGCGCCGGGGCGCCGCTCATTCAGTCACCGGGGATATTGTTGATGTTGTGTGATAAACGTAATCATCCTCCAATTCATCCATACTTCCTCCAAAATGTAGCCAATGCTGTCCATGCGCTGTAAGAAAGTATTCTGTCAGATCGTCAACCCACCGTTTTTTGGGTCGATGTGGTAGCCTCTTTGCGCGTGCATTCGTCGCGGTCGGCTCCCATAGTAAAGCTTTTCTGTTCCATTTCCCCTTGTCATCTGTAAGAACTGCCATAAGTAGTCGCCATTGTCGTCTCCGTTGTTGCACGCACCAGTCTTCATATCCCAAGTCGTGGTAGTACTGTACAATATGCCTTGTCGCGCGTCGGATCCATTCCTGCCATGGTTCCACATTGTTTTGGGCATGCGAACTCGGTGTAGTTGAGGTGCTGGTGTCGTTGCTGTCGGTGGTGCTGCTTTCCGAATCCGACGTGTCGTTCGGGCCGTCAGACTGGTTATTGTCGCTCGCTTCCGTGCCGTTCTCTTGAACGCGGCGACGTTGTGATCCGAGAATCATTCTGAGCATGCAGCGTTGGGTGGCCCGCACTCGCGTTTCCAGCGGAGTCGTCATTGCCCAAGAACCCGCGCCATAAAGAAGTGTAGGTGATACAACGCCGTTGAAGAGCCGCAGACGATCCCCCAATGAGTACGACCGTGTGGTGAGCTCGTGCTTGAACAAGCCGAATTTCTTCCATGCCGCATTGATTCTGGATTCGATCTCCGTCGTTGTCGGATCACGGAATGTAATTTGCCGTCCTAGATATTTTTGCGTTGCAGAGTACGGCAATATTTCGATGTAGCTTCCGTTGACGACTGTCTGTTCTGGGTTGCTTCGCGGCCTCCTCTCTTGCATGTTATGCAGGATCTTGGTCTTCCCGGGGTGTATCTCCAAGCCACATGGTTGCGCAGCGTCCATGACATCCCGAATCATACTCTTAATCTGCCTAAGGGAAGTGGCGACCAAGAGAACGTCATCCGCAAATCGAAGATTTGTAAGCCAATCATTTCTGTGCGTTCCCAACTGTATACCATATTTCCTGTCGGCCCATTTTGTGCGGAACTTGTCGAAGACGAATTCTGAGAGGCAGTTGAATAGTAATGAGCTTAATGGGTCGCCTTGCTTGGTCCCACGACTAATGGTAAATGTTTTGCTGCATACGTCTGTCTTGACACAAGCCGTCTGGTCCGTGTACAAGCACATAATGAGGCTGATGTATGATTGCGGAACTCCGTGTGCTCGCATAGCTTCCCAAAGTGATTCATGTGAGACCGTGTCGAATGCTTTCTTGAAGTCCAACGTAGCAACCCACAGTGGGAGTTGGAACTCTCGCGCCTTCTCCTGTACGATCGCGAATGTGAACAAATGGTCATCCGTGCTGAAATTTCGCCGGAATCCAGCTTGCTCCGGCTTCTGCTTCGAATCTAATATCGGTTCCAGTCGGTTGTACAGCAATCGCGAGAATAGCTTGTACATGAGCGGGATCATCGAAATAGGACGGTAGTTCTGCGGTAGGGCTGGCTCTCCAGATTTGAAAATCACCTTGATTTGGGTGTGTTTCCACTGCTTCGGTGTCACCGTACCGTCCAAGACAATGTCGTTGAAAAGCTTCCGCAACGCATTCCTGAGAGCTTCTCCTCCGTACTTCAGCATTTCAGCTGCTATTCCGCTTGTGTCTGCAGCTTTGCCGGTCTTGAGTTGCCGAAGTCCCTGCCGCATCTCGTCGTCACTGAAGGGTGCAATGCTCCCACGTTCCTCTGCGCCGTGTGCGGGAGAATCGGGGCCTGATCCTCTGGGCATTGAATATAGAGATTCGTAGAAGTCTGCAAACACATCGGCTATTCCCCGTCTGTCGTGGACATGCCCTCCAGGAGCTGACTGCATCGATATAATCATGTCCTTCTTTTTGGTGCTCTTGATCCCGCTGATTCTGTTTAGCCCCCTAAAGTCTGCAAGAATGGTCGTAATCCTGTTGTGTCGGTCCGTCCTGCCACAATTGCGTATCTCTCGCCGGATTTGTTTGCTGAGTTGTTGTCGCATAGCCGACAATGAGGTTTGAGGGAGGAAGAGAAATGAGGTTTGAGGACGTGGAGGCGCCGAGGATGCAAGGAGCTCAATCCCCGTCCTGACGTCAATCCTCGATGGTGCCCGCCTAAGTGCTCCACGCTCGTAGACCAGACCGAGAACGTTTTCCTGGTTCCCACACCTCTAGCAGGTCGGCCCTTTCATTGAGGCCACATCAGATTCGACCGCTGCCGCGGCGGGAGCAGAAAGCGAGTCTCTCCTCGAGTCTCCTCTCCCCCCCTCAGCCCCACAAGCTCATTGAGCCTCCTCTCCTCGAGTCCCCTCTCCTCCTCGAGGCGCCTCGAGTCCCCTCGAGTCCCATTCCCACACCCCCACCGCGTGGGCGAACGACGCGTCCGTGGGTCCGTGGCCTCGCGGGCCCGGGCCCGATGGCCCGCGGCCCCGCGGGTTGCGGGGCGCTTTTTGGGGGGGTCCGCGGCCCCCCCCCGCGCGGACCGCACCCCGATGCGGCCGCGCCTCCGCGGGCAGGGCGCGCCGAGGCGGATTGCTTTCGCGCCGCGCGCGGCCCCCCGCCGTGCCGAGGAGGCCTGCGCCGGCGGCAGTGCAGGCGGCCCCGGGCGCGGGAGCGGTTTTTTTTTTTTTTTTTTTTTTGCCCTCCTTCCTCCTCTCCTCCTCCTCGCCTCCCCTCCTCCCATCCCCCCCTCCTACCTCCTCACCTCCTCCTCCACCTCTCCGCCTCATTCACCAACTCCTCCTCCTACAGCCTCTCCCCCCCTTCCCTTCCTACTTCCTCCTACCTCACATTACGCCCCCCCGCCCTACCTCCTCCTCCTCCTACTGCTTCATCCTCCTACCTCCGCCATCAGCCTCCTCCTCTCAGTCCTCATCCTTACCTCCGCCCTCCTCCTCCATATCCCGCCACACGCCCCCACACGCTACGCTCCTACCTCCTCAGCAGAACGCCCGCCTCCTCTCCTCCTCCTCCTCCTGACCTCCTCCTCCTCCTCACTCCTCTCGCCTCCTCCTCCTCCTCCTCCTCCTCCTCCTCCTCCGCCTCCTCCTCCTCTCCTCCTCCTCCTCCTCCTCCGCCAGCCCGCTCGGGCGGGCGAGGGCGGCGGGCCGCCGCGGCGCCGCGGCGGTCGCTGGAGGGGGGGAGGAGGGAGGGGGCGGGGGCGAGGAGGGGGGGGGGGCGAGGGCGAGCGCACCTGGCTTCCTTTTGGTTCCCTCTCGTCCTCCCTCCTCTCGGCCCGCACTCCTCTCCTCCTGGGCGCCTCCCCTGACCCCTGGGCTCGGTCTGCTTCTTGTTGCCCCTCTCTGTTCCGCGAATAGACGTGTGGGCTCGTGCGTGCACCCATGCACCCGAGGGCAAGGGCGCGCGAGGCTTCTCTTGGGGGGGGGAGGGGCGGCTCGAAAGGGGGGTCAGCTGCAGCTGGTTTCGACCCCGCCGCAGGGCGCTCTACGAGCACCTTTCTCGACGCGACAAGGGCGCGCGAGACTTCCTTGGAGGTGGGGGTGGGAGGCTGGGCCGACCAGCGGCCGCCGCGGTGCGGCCGTGGCCGTGGCCGTGGCCGCCGAGATGCTGGCGCCTCTTCGCGCGATGCTCCAGGATCGGCCGCTGTTTTGTCATAATCACGCTTGAACAGTTCACTGAGGCAGGGAGGAGGGGAGGAGCACTGCAGCGGCGGCGGAGGCGGCGCCGGCAACCACAGCCTCAGGCGCAGCACGAGCAGCACAGGCAGAAGCAGGAGCAAGAGGACGCAAACAAAGATCTGGAGGAGGAGGAGGAGGAGGAGGAGGAAGAGGAGGAGGAGAAAAGGGAGGAGGAAGAGACCCAGAGGCATGCAGAGGAGGAGGAGGAGGAGGAGGAGGAGGAGGAGGAGGAGGAGGAGGAGCATGGAATGTTCTCGCGGCCTTCGGGGCCCCGTCCGGGGCCCAGGCCCCCGTGCCACCCGAGGCCGACCCCCAGCCCGGCCCAGGCGAGCTACGAGTCGCCCGAGCGGTGAGAGAGGGAAAGAGGCGAGCAGAAGCAGGGGCAGGACGGAAGGGGACGGCCGCGCACGGCTGGGGTAAGCAGATCCGAACGGTTCACCAAAAGCCTCCAGTCAAAAATTCATAGTAAGGACGCGCGGATGTCCCGAGGGTGCCCTTGCGGCCTTGCCTCTGCGGCCCATCCTTTGCGGTTTCCGCTGGCCAGCCCGTCCGGATGTGGGCGGTCCGCCGCCCCAAGAGTGCCAATTTCGGCGTCCGAGGGCCTCGTGTCCTTACCACCCGTCCCTACTATCGGTTTCCACTGCAGCATGACGAGGAGGTGGATCAAGGAGGAGGAGTCCGTGGCAGAGGCGACGTTTCATCCCGCCGCGGGCGAGGGGTGGTGCGCGGCGGCGG